GAATCCCCAGAGTCCAGCACAGAGTCTGGTTCATAGTAGATGCTTGACACATGTTTGCTGAGATGATGAATTCAGATAGCAGAAGATAAAGATCAAGAACACAGAAAGGGAAATCAGGAAAGTGTCATGAAGAATGGGAAAAAAAGAAGTGATTTGAGAAGCAGAAAAGAATCTTCGAGATGCCAGGACAAAGGAAAAATCTGCATGAGGCTGCACGATCGTGAGGTTGTCTTGCATAACAAATCTCTAGCTAAAGGTAATATGAAACTTCAATGCAAAATAAACAGCACTTGCCTCAGAGAGGAATGAGGTGGAGAGGAGTCAGAAACGTGAGTCTCTGAATGTGCTGGAACAAAGGGCGTCCGGGGCCAGAACCCTCATCGGTGAAAGGAGATGAAGAGGGCACGTGCCAAATCAGAAGAGAAAGAATGGAATCATGATTTTGAGAATAACAAAAATGTGTGAAAGAATATGGCCTGGAAGATAAAAATCATGATTTAAAAATAAAATGGGAAAACAAGAAAAAGAAATAAGAGTGGATTTGTTAGCCATATGCGTGTTTGCTCAGAATGCTATTGTTTCAGCAGTGGGGAAAGGATTATAGGTAAATAAAATACGCAAATGCAGTTCATAATGAAAAATCCTTTGATGAACAACTGAGATAATCATTGTGAAAACTCCCTGAAAAAATACAAAATGTTCTGGAAATGCAAGATGACATAATTATCATTCTAAGGTGTGATCATCCAGTAGAAGTTGCTGTGTGTCCCAAGAAAATTAGCTCTCGGATGGGTGCAGTGGCTCATGCCTGTAATCCCAGCACTTTGGGAAGCCAAGGTGGGCAGATTGCTTGAGTTCAGGAGTTTGAGACCAGCCTGGGCAACATGGTAAAACCCCATCTCTACAAAAAAAATACACAAAAATTAGCCAGGTGTGGTGGCATGCACCTGTAGTCCCAGTTACACAGGAGGCTGAGGTGGGAGGATTGATTGAGCCCAGGAGGTGGAGGTTGCAGTGAGCTGAGAGATCATGCCACTGCACTCTAGCCTGGGTACACAGGAAGACCTCAGTCTAATAAAAACGAACAATATCAAACTGGAAAGAAAGAACGAAACAGGAAGAAGGACAAGACAGGAGGAAGGAAGAAGAAGGAAGGAAGGAGGAAGGAAGAAGGGAGGAGGGAAGGAGGGAGGAGGGAGGGAGAGAGGAGGGAGGGAGAGAGGAGGGAGGGAGGGAGGGAGGAAAAAAAAAGACTGGCTCTCTGAGCACTGATCATTGGTAACCAAACAAAGGCCCAAAGTACCCTTACTTCAGCCTGAGACAGCTCTCTTGAGAGGTAGGCTCTCCTAGGCTGGGTCTTGGAAGAGAGTGATGCATGCCAGGTTCGTGCACTAGGTACCCTGGGGAAGTTGGAAGAAGTCAGCTTGAATCTCTGGTTGCAATACACAGAGCCAGGAAAGAGAGAGAAATAGAACAAAGGGAGCAGAGAAACAAAGGAGAAAAAGGAGATATGTTTAATATTTTCTGAGTGCCTACTGTGTGCCAGGAACTGGGCATATGCAATTTCATTTAACCATCAACATAACTGTACAGAGCTTTGAACTGGCCCGATATCATATTCGATGTTAGAGTTTCTTATACCCCTCTGCAATTTTCACTCCACACTCTTTCCCTAGGATTGCACCCATGGCCAAAACTCTCATAATAACTTATGAAAAGCCTTTAGCCCAGTCTTCTCTGAGCTCCAACCATTATATATCTAACTCAAGTCAGATATCTCAAATGCACCGCAAACTCTTCAAGTCCAAAATGGATGACTTTAAACTCGTCCCCAAACCTGATCCTCTCTGGTGCTTCCTGTACCAGTGACCCCTAGCCCCAAACTGTCACCCCCATATAGGTATGCAAACTTGAAACGTAGGAGTCTTTCTTGGCACATTATTATCTTGTATCACTGTCCCATATTCAATCCACCCAAGTTCTATTTACTTCCTACACATCTCTCAAATGTGTCCACTCCCCTCTCCATCTTCCTCTCCCTGCCTAGACCAAGCTACCATCATCTCTCACCTAGACTGCTGCAGCAGCATCAGGCATCTCCTATCTGCTCCAGCCTCCTCCTATTGGTTCTCCATGTAGAAGGCAAAAGGATCTTCTCAAAATACAAATCTGATTATGTCTCCACCTCTAATCAAACCCCACCAGATTTGAGTAAACCATTTGAATGGGTTCTCATCACTCTTCGGAGAAAGACCAAAGTCCTTCACATGGCCTGCAAAGTCTGGCATGATTTGACCCCTCCCCCATTTTCACCTGACCTTCTTCCCCGTCTGCTCTCCAGTCACACTGGCCTGGTCTCAGTTCTTGTCCTTCTGCCCAAGGGCCTTTGCACGTACAGTTCCTTGTACACCCACTTCTTCACCTATGGACTTCTACTTATCCTCCAGATAGTAGACCAAAGACTCTCTCAATGCAAGCCTTCCTTGACATCTGGATAGATCAGTTTCCCTTATAATCTCTCATAAGACTCAAATTCTTTTCTTACAACACTTTTAAAAGTTTTCATTTTACATTTATTTATGCAACATTTGTTTAATGTCTGTCTTCCCTCACCAGACTACAATCTCATGACAGTAGAAATTGTGTGGCTTTTCTCTGCCCTGTGAAAATTGTGTGGCTTTTCTCTGTCCCTGGCACTCAGACATGCTTGTTTCTTCAGCCTCTACCTTGGGACATGCAGCTTCCTTTCTGTGCTACTCCCACACACCCTGTATGCCTGACCAGCTCCTACTCGTCCTTCAAGGTTTCCCTTCCTCTTCTCATCAATTTCTTTGACCTGTGACTGTCTATTTCTTTGGCCTGTGACTGTTCCTACCCTTAACCTTGAGCTGGGTTTGGGGTGGATAAAGGAAGGTTTGGGTTTTTTTATACCCTGCTGGGTTTTTCTGCCACTCCACCTAACATGTGAATATTATTATTAATATTCCACCCAGAACACTCCACTGCTTCAAATATTTCTATGATATTTATTTTATCTCTGGGTAAGAAAGTATAAAAGCAATGGAAGAAATCACTAATGAAAAGAAAATCAATAAATTTGACTACACCAAATTTGAAACTTTTTGGACATCAGAAACCATTGTAAACGAAACTAAAAAGCAAATGACAAGGCTGGGGAAAAATATATGCAATAAATATGACAAAGGGTTGTTATGTTTAATATATAAAGAGCTTATATAAGTCAATAAGAATAATACTAAAATCCCAGTAGAAAAATGGGCAATGGTCATGAATATGTATAAATAGCTAATAAACACATTTAAAAAATGTCTAACTGCACCAGTAGTCACAGAAATGCAAATTAACACAATGCTAAGCCATTGTTCACCTATCAAATTAGGAAAACATTAAAGGCTGGTGAGGGTGCAGTGATCAATTGCTAGTGTCCCAGGAAAAAAATAAGAAAGCAATTTTCAACTTTCAATTGCCCCCTACGACCTAGAGAAAAAGTCCAAAGACCTCAGCAAGGCCTATGAGACTCTCCAGAGTTTCATCCTCACCTTCTTCTCCAGGCTCACCTCCCACCGTGCCCCAGCTCCCACCTGAGACTTGCAGTTACTGAACCAGCTGACATGTCCTGAGCATGGCATGGAACGTCATGTCTGCACAGATGGCCCTGCCTGGATGCTCTGTCCTCCACTTCTGCCTTCCCCAACCCCACCCTGTCTTCTCCTAACACCTGCTCCTCCTTGACAGACAATTCTGAGATGTCACCACCTTTAGGAAACTCTCATGACCTGAGTTTGGTGGCCCTGATCTGTGCTGTCATCACACGCACATTCCCTCCCTTAGCCCTTACCACACTGTATTGAAAATGACTCTTTATGGTTTTCTTTCCACCTTAGATTATATGTGCCTCAAGAGAGACATTATCTTTTTATTCATTCCTGCATCTCTGGGCCTAATCCAGTGCAGATGCCCAACAGATGACTCTTGAACTAATCAATCATGTAATAAATCAATTATTCTATTCTGCACCATAAATTTTTGCCGCTATTCTGGTAAATGCAAATTTTATTTTAAATAGATACAATTAAGTCATTTTGGAAGGAGAGGAAATACCTCAGCCATGCCCCAGCCCTCATTTTAGTACCTATGTTCTATCATCCTGTGGACTGTAAGCCATGAAATTAGTTCATGGGTCACAATTACCATTTTTTTTTTTTTTCACAAAAAAGATTTGAACTAGAAGAGAAAGGAATGACTCTCATGTCTGTTCTTTCCTTTCCATGATGGATTTCCCACCTGCTGCACCCAGGCAGGAAAATGTGCCAGTGAAAAACACAAGTTGGGGAGCTGAAGATCCTGCTCTGATTCATATTAATTGTGAGACTCCAGGAGAGTTACTGATCTTTCTGCTTTGGTCTCCTTACCTAAAACATTGGGATAATAAAAATACAAATAGGATGAAATAGGAAGAACCAGTTTTGCCTCAAATTCTCAAAATTGCTCATCAGCCTTTCTCATAGAAACACAGTAAGACCCACCAGAACAAACACAACACAACCATATTACTTCCCCCGGCACTTTCTATGTGTGTGTACATGTGTGTGTTTTGAAACGGGGTCTTGCTCTGTCGCCCAAGCTACAGTGCAGTGGCTCTATCAAGATTCACTGCAGCCTCCGCCCCACCTGGGCTCAAGCGATCCTCCGGCCTCTGCCACCTGAGTAGCTGGGACCGTTTTCTGTTCTGATGCCTGACTCCTTCTTTATCAAGTCTCCATTCAGGCAGCAGCTCTTTCCTATTTCGACCGCCTCCCTGCCCTGTCCCTGCTCTGTGTGCCCACGGCCCCTCTTGCAGTCCCCTCCAACACAGCACTGGCTACAGCCATGGCTCCAGCAGCTGCTCATTTCTCTATCGCTCCTTAAGGGCAGGGATTGTGCCTTTTGTTCCATAGCTCCAGCATCTAGCACGACCCCTCCTTCACAGTAAGCTCTCAGTATGCATTTATGGGAGACAGGGAGGAGGTGAGGAGGATAGAAATTCTTCATCTGACACTTTCCCCACATTTCCAAGGCCATAAAGCAATGCAGGGCCTTTGAACTATAGGCCATTTTCTAAAAGTCCACTCGTGTGGGCACACAGGGTCTCTGAAGAGAGGGAACTCCTGGAATGAGGCAGGTCAGGGGGAGCACCAGGGGAAGCTGGATGCCAGGAACACATGTTCCCTCTCGGAGATCTCACAAGCTGGGGGAGTTGCTCTAGAGGAATGTGAGCTTGCACAATCAACCCTTTGAATGTTGATAAGAGGCCCACGGCTTTGTATGTCTCCATATGAACAGACTTGTAGCAGGGCAGGGACAAGGCTACTCTCCCTACTGCAGGGATTCCAGATTTTTGGCCACTCAGTTCCAGAGCCCATGAACAGAAGTCGCTGTTTGGACCAAGCCATGGTAACTGAGGTGATGCCATCTGGGTCAGCGGCATCAAAGAACGGGAAGCTGTGGAGAAAGAGGGGTTAACATTGACTAATCAGAACCAGGTCCACAGTTGGGCAGCTCACACATACCACTTCGCATGATTGGCATACCAACCCAATGACAATAGCCTTGATCATACAGATGGGAATGCTAAGGACCGGAATGTTAAGAACCTGACCAAGCTCACACTGTAAGTCACTGAGCCCAAATTCAAACCTAATTCTGTCTGACTTCAAATATCTTGTTCTCTTCACATTGAATTCCTATGTCCAGGTAATTTCTTTTTCATCAGAATTTGAGTCTAATGCTCCTACTCCAGGCCAGGGGAAGGGAGACATGGAAGGAAGGCTCTACTACCATCTATATAGATGCTAGTGAACTAGGGACTTAGGAATGTGTCTGTTGCCTGGGAAACCACATCTGGCACAGAGACACTCCTGAGATCCCTGGCACTCACTAACCAGCCCCTTCCAAGGGAGGAAGTAACTTCAGCCAGCTCCCAAAGGGCCTAGAGGAGTGGCATTGCCTCCTACCCCATGACTGCTTCTACCTCAACCATCAGCCACCAACACCAAATTTATCCAGAGGCTTCTTGTACAGCACTAGAAAGAAAAACTACACAGCAGTGGAATCAGAAATCCTACAGTCCAGCAGACACCTCCAATATCTTTGGCAACCTCTCCTCACAACAGAAAGGGCAGCATCTATGGGATCCAGAAAGCCGGTGTGCCAGGACTTGCCAGGACTTAGAGAAGGTAATTGACATTGGGCATTGCTTTAGGGGTGCTGGGAAAGCTCTCCACCCCACAGACCCATACTGGGTGGATGGTATTTGAGATACTAATTCAGAACTGCTTCTCTGTGGCTTAGGGCTCTAGTGCAGGCTAAAATGCAGGGGACACTTACAACTGTGGCAGCCATTGCACTTAGCATGAATTGCTTTCCAGTCTAATTACGAAAACGGGCTCTGAAAGGGAGGTAAAAAGAAAATAGGAGGACTCTGGATGTTTCCTGTGGAGGCCTCAAATAGAAAAGTCGAAGTAACTTTGTATACATTCCCCATTCACAGCTTGACAGGACAGGAAAGTTCACCACTTAACGTTTTTAGGGTTGATGGAAGCCACCAATCCAATAAGGTGTCCCCTGGAACGCATCCAGAATCCATCCTTTAGTCCATGAGAGTTGAGCTCCAGCTTCCCTCTCCTGACTCCATATCCCAGCTGTGGTTTGGTGTACATTGTGCAGGATGGAAATGGCCCATTTTCCTGGAGAGAATGAAATGTGCCCAAATTGAAAGACAAACCAGGCCCCAATCTTGCATTTGGGAATATGGGTTCCTGGTTTCCTAGAATCCAGCTGAGGAATTTCCTGACTTCAGTTAGAGAAACTGACATGGGAACAGGTATGCAACTCCAAACATGCTTGACAGCATAGGCTATGAACCTGGGCAGCCCCTATACCAGGCCCCTCTCCCAAGAGCAAGCTGGCTCTGAGAACCTGAGAAGTAAAGAACTTCAAGCTTTTCCTACAGGCTTATGATAGAAATTATGCCATCTGGGTATGTATCCAAATTATATAATTGTGATTCTGGGTCATAGCAAAGTTTCAAGTCATAAAAATGCCCCTCGTCTCAATGTTTCAAAATGAACAGATATTAATATCAGAAGAAAGGGGGAACACATCCTTCATGTCATCGCTATTGTTAATGTGGAAACTACTTCACAGTGGTATCTTCACTTCTGCCTGAACTTCAAGAGGTCTTTAAACATATTTTATATATATGTATGTTTTGGAGACAAAGTCTCACTCTGTCGCCCAGGCTGGAATGCAGTGGCACGATCAGGGCTCACTGCAACCTTCACCTCCTGGGCTCAAGCAATCCTCCCACCTCAGCCTACCAAGTAGCTGCATGTGTCACCATGTCCAGCTAATTTTTGTAGTTTCTGTAGAGATGAGGTTTCACCACGTTGCCCAGGCTGGTCTCAAATTCCTGGGCTCAAGCAATCCACCCAACTTAGCCTCCCAAAGTGCGAGGATTACAGGTGTGAGCCACCGCACCCAGCCTAAATATCTCATTTTGAGGCATACACAGAAATCATCTTCAGGATTCTTAGGCTCTCTCCTTCCATCTAAGTATGTCCCACAATACACCATCCATATGAATTTGACTCAATAACTACACACTTGAGGGAAACATTAAGTATAAATTTACTATCCACCTAGTGGTAGCTAGGTAAAATTGCAGGCATAATGATAAAAAAGAAATCATCAACTTTATAGTTCCTCAGTTTCAAACCCAAACCTGTAAGGGGGAGGAGAGACTCAGACGCCTCAGGGACCAGGCAGATAATACAAATAAATGAAACAGGCCAGATGAGAGTACAAGTCTTGCCAAAAGAAGCAACCCCTACTTAGTTTCAATTGATTGTCCTCTTCTGAAAATGCAGATCAGAATTGCCACACATTCTGGCTGATCGAGAGAGGCCAGAAATTCTAATTTTAACGTGAAACTTCTTGATTTCTTAGACACTGGCTCAATTTTCTTGAAAATACTAGCTGAGCTAAATAAAGCTGACAGTCCACCAGTTTTCAGTGCTCCTCTGTGCAGAGAGTGAATGGCACCTCCCCTAACTGTAGTATTAGACTGCCACTCACCAGCCACAGTTTGCAACTGCAACAGAGGCATAAACTGATGCAGATCTCCTGCTTTACTATGCATACACAAGTGAACTCTTGAGCCATGGAGAACAACTAACTCTACAGGAAAAAGTGGAAGGCTAAGCTGAGCCACCCAGGAATGGCAGCAGGGGCCTTCATGGCTAGCTGCTGGCCTGTAGGCACTAAATTGCAGACTGCTCCTGCAGGAAGCCTTCGGGGCCGGGGAGGCCTTTATCTGGCTCAGAAGCTAGGGCTGCTTCTCGAAGGACTTCCAAATGCTCCTCAGCAGCCGACAGAGACTGGTCAATCCAGTCCAAGCCTCCCGTCAGATGGCAGGCATTCCTTGTCACCAGCACCAGATGACTGACAGACAGGAGCAGGGCAGTTGTCCTAGGGGAAAAACAAATAGGGTCAGGTTTCCTAGGAAACGAGGGACTTTGCACAAAAGCCCAAATAGATAGACTTTTTGACTAGTATTCCCCAAACTGCACACTTTTCCCTAGGATGTTGGTAGGTATGCAATTTAAAGTTGGTTCCATGCTCAAATAAATTTGGAGATGGCTAGGTTAAACAAGGTTAACTGAAGCCTGCCTCAGAGACTTCCGAGATGTACCTGATAAAGCTCCGAGGAGAATATAACAGGCTGTCTCTCACAAGCCTATTTAAGACTGTGGAAGCCATTTTCTGCAGCACACCTATTAACATCTCCCCCAAAGAGCGCCTTGTGAAACAGTTCAGATATGATCAATCAGATGAGCACAATCCCCAATTGCTGCCCACTTAAACACAGGACAGACACACCCTCACTTAAACATTCCCTACTGATTACAAATCGGTAAGGCCCAGGGCTGGTTTATCCAACTCAAAAAAAACAAAAAATGAAATTGAAAACCAAAGTGAGGAGTAGATTTTTCAGTGCTGAAAAATTCACTGTAGAATACCTTTTATATAGTGAGTACCATGATGCATTTGAGAATATGTTACAGGTTATTAACCCATGGACAAAGCTGGGCAGCAGTAGGAGTGGGGCAGAGAAACCAAAGTTGAAGCGCTGTGACCCATTGCCGATCTGGCAACTGTTACATGCGTATGAAAGTCATATAAATCCAAGGCAGAAAAGAATCTATTTTTCTTAAATGGGATGCATCTGGTATAGGAACATAACAATTTCATACGGCTAAGTACACTCTGTGTATGTGCACATCTGGTGGTAGGTGAGCACAGCCGTGGCTGACCTGTCACCTCCATTCTCACTGCTCTGGGAACCACTGCCCCACCGCCCCACTGGGCGGCACTCACAGCTAAGGCATATCTGCTTCTGGGGTCCAAAAATCAGAGGGGGCAAGAGGAAAGGTGGAAGGGAAGGCACAGTTAGCATGTAACATGGCCAGATGTCTAATCATAACAATTTAAAATCTCAGACTGGCTCTTTCTTCTCTTGGGTTTCAGGAGAGGACTGGCCTCTATCACCCAGTCAGGAGCCGCTCACTGAAGTAAATGGCACCCAAGGCCCGGGCAGCCTAAGGAGTCCGCAAAGCCACCCTCCCTACACAAGCCAGTCAGCCAGTCTCACAGATCTGATAAAACGGTTGTGGACCTCTGCATGACAAACCGAACGTGCACCCACCACCGCTCTCACCGTGCGTCCAGGAGCTTGGGGTCCAACGGAGGGTACATCGACTTCACAACATCATCCACCCTGACCAGAGGCAAAAGGTATTCAGTACTTCACTTTCTTGATCTCCTTTTCTCCTTCTTTTTTTTTTCTGAGACAGAGTCTCGCTTTGTCACCCAGGCTGGAGTGCAGGGGTACTATCTCAGCTCACTGCCACCTCCACCTCCCGGACTCAAGTGATTCTCCTGCCTCAGCTTCCCAAGTAGCTGGGATTACAGGCGCACACCACCGTGCCTGGCTAATTTTTGTATTTTTAGTAGAGACGGGGTTTCACCATGTTGGCCAGGGTGGCCTTGAACTCCTGACCTCAGGTGATCCGCCCACCTCAGCCTTCCATAGTGCTGGGATTACAGGTGCGTGAGCCACCACACCCAGCCCCTTCCTTCCTTTCTATCTTTATTCCAATTCTTCTTTTTTGATATTCTAGACCTGGTCTTTAATGGTTCTTTCTCCAATTGCTTCTGCATTCTCAGACACTGAGGCACAAAGACTTCAGGTTCAGTCTTTGTAGAGACTATTTTGTTTTCCAGTTTTGTTTCAGTTCCAGTGGTTTTTAAAAATACAGTCATACATATGGAATGATGTTCAAGATTACTACTATATTAAAAAGGCAAATTGCCAAATAATATGTAAAGCTCGATCTGTCGTTTGCATTAAAATAGATAAACAAAAGCTCTGAAATGTGGGATTGGGAAGGATCTGGAAGAACACTCACCACTTAATAGTGGTTACTTCCTACAATTGGGAGGCAGTAGACTTTCCAGGTCATCTATGTCTGCAGTATTTTAAATTTTTAGAAGCATGAATTACTCTTGTATTCAGGAAAAAAAAAAATACAAAGCTAAAGGTATGTAAGACATGGAAAAAGAAGGCCATGAGTTTCATTTGGCTTCACACTGCTCTACTGGATTTCTTCTACCATGTGGTTAATTTTTTAAATCAAGTTCAGAACTACACTCCATTCTGATTTGCGTGGTACAAGGTTTTGCTCCAAATCTGCTTATAAACACTCGACAGGAAGAAAAAATAAAGATGTATTGTTTGATTTCTAAAAGCACTTGAAAAAAGATGGCCTCAAACACTCTTATTCAGGGCTGTGGGGCTGGTGAGGACATGCAGAGACACAGTCACCCTCGGCGCCTGTCTCAGCCAGTCCCTTTCTCTAGTACTGAAGCCACCACCTCGAGACTAATAGGCCATCAATACACTGTGTGGGATAAATGGAGCAGGAAAAACAATGGGGACAAAACATGGCCAGAAGGAGAAAAAAGAGTGAGGGCAAAAGGACAAAGTGAAGACCCTGGCTGAATTATGGCACAGAGCATTCTAGAAGTAGTCCAAGGTGCTCTTTAGGACCGGCCTCTGAGCACCAGGGCTGGTCCACCCTTTAGACAATGCCACACCCTCACCTTAGGACCAGTACTGATCCTACTCACCCAGGCTCACACAGAAACCTCAACCTCCTGAAAGTGCTGCCTTATAACCCATATCACAGGAATCTGCCTGGCCCCCAAATGGCTCTTAGAAGGCACAAAAAGCATGATGAAGGGTCTAGTGGATACCACAGTGCAGAATATTTAAAACTAATGGGGAAGGAGGCTGGGTGTGGTGGCTCACGCCTATAATCCCAGCACTTTGGGAGGCCGAGGTGGGCGGATCACCTGAGGTCAGGAGTTCAAGACCAGCCTGGCCAACATGGTGAAACCGCCTCTCTACTAAAAATACAAAAACTAGCTGGGCAAGGCAGCAGGTGCCTGTAGTCCCAGCTACTCAGGGGCCTGAGGCAGGAGAATTTCTTGAACCCAGGAGGTTGGAGTTGCAGTGAGCCAAGATCACACCACCGCACTCCAGCCTGGGTGACAGAGCAAGATTTCATCTCAAAAATAAATAAATAAAAATAAATAATGGGGAAGGAATGCCCAGTGCCCACCCTGAGCCTGGGACGCGGGTTCTTATAAAGCCAGGAGCTGACCATGTAGCTACACCCCACTGGAGCAACTCCAGAGAAAGCCGGGAACTGTTCTGGGCTGAGTCCCTCCCTGGATTATCTCCCTCCCACTCTCTCAACTCACGAACTGCCTGAACCGAGTTCAAGCTGACCAGGTCGTGTCTTCCCTCAAAGGAACTCACGTGGCGACTCAGGAAATTGGTCGTTTTTATTTGGTTAATCTTGAGGCAGAGAAAGGGCTGGTTCCCCGTGATTTACCCGGGGCCATGGCAACAAGGAACGTGTGGGTCCC